CTACACCGATGAGAGAAGCTCTCCTGTTGGCATAGGTAGCATCTTCACTAAGTGCTACAGCAGCCCAGCTGCCCCACTGTAAGTGTAGACAAGCCCTGAGCCAATAAGTTACTGCAAGAGCTGGTTAGGAATTTTTTGACCACCTTTTTTTGTTGTTGTTGAAAAATGCCAATTGGTTGAAACCAAAACTTTTCATGGGAAAGGGTCAGTTTCTCAAATTTCTCTACTTGAAAATTTTTGGGAAAAAAGTTTTAAAAATTGTCAAAAGGTCCTATTATCCACATTTTCAAAACACACAAAAAATTAAGGTCTCCAATTTGAAAAGACTTTGTTTTGAAATTTAAGCTATTTATATTAGAATGTTTAAAAAAATTGTCGAAATCAAAATGAAACATTTGAATTGACCCAAATTTTGTGTTTATTTGCAGAAATTTTCAAGATTTTGACTTTTTGTCCTGATTCAGGAAAGGAGAAATTTCCAAAAATTTGCACAGGATGGGAAAACTGTTCCCACCCAGCTCTAGTCATTTTCTTGATGTGATTCTTAATTCAGTAACAATAAGACCAAAACATTCAGTTTTGGATATTGCTTTCTGCTAAACAGTGTTTCTTGCTACTGCTCAAACACATGGACACCCAGTCACATTGTCTGGAATTATTCATTTCCTCCCATTTATGCCAGCTCCTTGATTGTTTTCTATCTGGTAAAAATTGACTTGTTTAATTCCCAAAGGACCTTTTCAGACACAGATTTCTCCTCAACACAGTATTGCTGTTGTGCTCTTTAAATCTTGCAGACAAGGCCAAACAACCCCATTATTAATACTTCCTTACAAAGGAAATTGGGGTCTTTTACATAGCATTCTAGCTGAAGATACAGACATAGAACTTTAAGATATACCAATTATTAGCCTTCTCAATATTTGTATAGCTGAGAAGAATACATCAGATAGGTGGGACACAGTTTGTTACAGAAACTGCAGAGAAATAGAAAGGAAGTAAGAGACGTGCAAGGGATAAAAGTAGTGGTGTGACATGAGTTTTAGGTCTGGCTATCAAGATGGTTCTGAGGATGGGTTCTGTGAGGAAAGTAAGTTGTTGTGTGGATAGCTCTCTATCTAGCAAACCTGGTTATCAGGACAGTGATTAGTCTTCCAGGAGCCAGACATAAGGACAGCACAGAAAATGTGATTAGCCAACAATACTGACAATTAATTTCTTGTGTGGGATGTGTGAGAAAACCCTCCCTTCCTGTTGCATAGTGATAAGAGTGCCATCTGCAGCTGCAGCCAGATTCTGCTCTCACCGTTATACTGGTGTAAATCCAGATATAAGTGGAGTAACTGGATTTACTGGAAAACTGTGTGTATGTAAGATCAGACTGACATCCAGGGGCTTTTGTTTTAATTTATTTTTTGTTGTTGTTTAGTTTCCTTTGTTTTTTCTTGCCACTTTAAACAAAGCAAAAATATGATGCTGTATGCACTGTTGTTGCTGTTTTGCTCCGCGCTGGTTGAGTTAGTTTCCCAGAGGAGCTCTGTTTCAACTTGAAAGTTTCTCTGTCACCAACAGGAGTTGGTCCAATTTATGATGCTGACATTTGAGACGCCTTTAGGGGACCCGGGTTTTGCGTACTCCCTAATTTGAATTCTTTACTGTAATATCTATTATTGAATACATCAGGCCAAATCCTGTTGCCGGTTTCACTGGGGTTAATGCAAGGTAACTCTCTGATTCCAGTGGAGTTTCTCTGGATTTACACGGTGTAAACTGATACCAGGATACTGCCCATTTTAAACATCTTTTTACAAAGTGGTTACTGTGCAAGCTAAGGGCTTGTCTACACTTACAGCACGGCAGCTGTGGCACTTAAGTGAAGATGCTCCCATCTGCGTGATTAACCCATCTCCCGGAGAGGTGGTAGCTATGTCAATGGGAGAAGCTCTTCTGTGGACACAGTGCTGTCTACACCAGGAGTTTGGTTGGTATAACTGTGTTGCTCAGGGCTGTGGATTAAGTTTGTAGTGTAGACCAGGGCTAGGAGACAAAAACCAGCCTGAAAATCTATACCATCTTGGCCATTTAAAGTGATTTGTCTTGTAAATACTAGAACAATGTAGGGCAGGGGTGATGAAAGTCTGGCCTAGTGCAATTCAGGGATTTTTGCAATGGAGCCTGCACCTAGCCTCATCTTCCAAAACAGATGCACTCTGTGCAGACGAGGCTCTTAGGTCCTTGGCTGGGGGTAATTCAGCAGAGCACCATTGACGTCAGTGGCTGCACAGACGTACGCTAGCCGATGATCCAGCCCCAATGAGTCTCAGTCATGCCTCCTCTGCTGCTGCCTGTGCTATCGCAGCTATGCTGCTATTTATACACACTCTGGCTCTCATGGAGCTACAAGTATGTGTCCCCGAGCAGGGGAATCACACCCACAGGTTTGTCCTGTAGACACAGCGTAAGCAGCCTTCGGCTAGTTGCCAATGTGGCTAGTTGCTAGTTGGCTGGCTAGTTGCCAGTGTGGTCCTCCATTGGGCACAACTTGGCCTTGACAGCGTTACGGATTTACCAGAGAGCATAGCAAGCTGCTGTTATTGTTTCTTAAACAAACCTATTTTCCAATTACAGGAGTGCAAAATACATTTTGAGTTGAACAAACTTCATTTCTTTTTGGCTGTCTTTGTGTTACAGGTGTGCAAACAGCCGCTGTTGTTCGCAGACAAACAATTACTCCTAGGCTGTTTCCTCTGCCAAGTTTCAAAGCACAGCACACGTTTGAGTCCATATTATTAGTAGACAGTCCGAAATTCTGCCTGCCATCCCCCTTGGGTATCTAGGGCTTCCCAAGCAGTGGAACTAGTGTGGATCTGCTGAGTGGGGCCAGGTTGCAGGAGCTCACTCTGAGAGGCTCGAACACCTCCTGGTTGCTGCTGCTGTGTTGTGCTCCCTCTGTAATTCCAAGGAAGGTGTGGGGAGGAGTCTGTGGTGTGGCCAGTGAGTGGATCCACCAGTACATAGATCCACCAGCCAAACCCCCTACACTGGGGGAACGGCCACGGAGGTGATGGGCTGCAGAAATAGCCACAGAGAGCACCATGCAGCCTGGGAGAAATGCTTCTATCCCCAGCCTATCCTCCATCATGATGAAGGGTGGGGCAGGGTCAAACCTGAGTGATGCTGAAACCCCACACACTAGGTTGAAATGCCAGTCAGGTGCCCCCCACCCCCATTCCAGTTTCCATCATGCACAGGCTCCCAGAATTCCTTACTCCGGTACCAGCAGCAGGGGAGGATTTGTCCCATCCTGTGAAACGCCTTATAACTAAACGAAAGCATGTTTTGTCACACACCCCAAACCAGGCCAGATTCACCAGGGCTTCCCACTAAACCCTAGCTGGCAAGTTCCCTTTTCATGTAAGCGACACAAGAGAGTTACTTAATGGAATGTCTCTGGGCCACTTGCACCTGAGCAAAGCACAAAGGAGGAGGCATCAGAGCCATAAATAGATACACATTAGACATCCGATGAAGTGAGCTGTAGCTCACGAAAGCTTAAGCTCAAATACATTGGTTAGTCTCTAAGGTGCCACAAGTACTCCTTTTCTTTTTGCGAATACAGACTAACATGGCTGCTACTCTGAAACCTGTCATTAGAAACTCTCTAAACATCCCCACATTTTGCATAGTTGATGACTTTCCATAATAGATATGGATGATAAACAACTTTAAATAAACTAAAAATTTATCAATGTCACTTCATTTATCACCATTATGTTAAACTGAAAGGTATGGAAAGAAAACACTGTGCATTTGGTTGAAAAACTCTGTGCAAATGTGATGAAAGAAGACTAAACTCAATGGGCCAAATCCTACTCTCATTTATACCTCAGCAACATCGCTAATGGGGATTTATAATGGAAGTGCTGACAGTGAAGAATTAGATATGGACTAAATAAAAAAAAGTGATTTGTAATATTCGGTGCACAAACCTTGTGGGCTCAGTACATGGGTAACAGAGTGAAATTTAATAGCCTGCGATACGCAGGTCTGACAAGATGATCTAATGATCCCTTCTGGCCTTAGACTCTGAGATGCTGTTGTCTATGGGCTTGTCTTCACTGTACTGTAAGTTTGTGAGGTAAACTCAAGGGCTGCCCCCCCCACCCAACTGTCAGGAACACACAAAAGTCTCTAGCTCAGGTTAAGTGGTGCTTAAAACTCAGGCTCAATGGCCCATCAGCGGGTTGGGGGCTAGGGGGCTGCTGAAGCTCAAGCTAAAAATGTAGCCTGGGACACTCGGCCTGTCTGCACTACTAATAAAAATGCTTCATGCAGCCTCTTGATTCGAGTGTCCATGACACACACTAACATTGTGGTAAAGACAAGCCCTAAAACAAGCAGAGTCAGAGCAACAAATCCAAACATCCTGAGCTTTGGAATGTTCCGATTCCGATGTAACATGGGATCCAAATGTTGTCATTCGGATCCCTCTCTGAAAGTAACCTTGCTTGTCACGAGTTCTGCTCCATGGTTGACAAGTAGAGTGAAGGGGAGGAGTGGGTAATTGGAGCCAAAATTTAGGGCTCCCTGTCAACAGACTCCTCCCCTTCATTCTCTATTCAGCACTAGTTCAGGGGCACCTTATGGTGCTGATCACCAGTGTCAACAATGTGTCAGTTTTCTAAAGCAGACAGTGCTTTAATGAGGGATTTTAAATCACTGCATAATGGAGTTTTATGTAAAATGTTACAAATTTGAGATGATTCTGAGCCAAGAGGTAAACAAAATTGCCTAGTTAGGATTGAAACGGCGTATCACATCACACTCTGATATCTGAGGTACAGATGACCTTTTCTATGGCACATGACAATGCATTAAGGAATCTTCTGTATTCTGAAACTTCGTGTTCTTCATAGTTTTTTCAAAAATAATTGACAGCTAATTCCCTTGGGATCTGTATCATTACAACATACTGATTTGTATATATTTACTGCTTCCAGGTTTTACCTTACTGGCTTTTGTCGATACCTATGCTGACAAGTTCAATCAGAAGACCCATCTGAAAAAGTAAAGATCCTTCAAAAAATTTGGTTTGGAATGCCAGCTGTATTTTAAACTTATGGGGGAAGTCAGGCTTTCCTTGTGACTGTAACTAAACGTGGTGCTCGTGAAACCTAGAGACTGAAGTATCTTCTTTATGCAGAGAACAGGCAGAGCATGAACAGTAGCAATATGAGCTACCACACCATGTGCCTTATACCTGTCAGTGTGAGTGGGAAGTGCAGTCTTTTGGGCAGATCTCAGCTGATGGAAGTTGTCATGACTTTTTTGACATCTCTCATGACTTCAGTGGAGCTATGGCAATTTACACCATCTGAGCCCCTCCCGGTCCATTCAAAGCTTGGGAGGAATGGAAAAGCAATCCTGGCCATTACTTTCTATGGCTGGTAAAATAATGGAACCAATGTGAGAGGTAACAGGGAATGTTCCTATTAAGAGGGGTAACAGCAGTGTGAATGATCAACAGCATGGACTTAATAAAGAACAAATTATTTCAGAGAAATATTTTTTTTAACCAAATTATAAAATGTGCCCTTGATTCTGCAGTGGCATCTGCTAGTATGAACCCCTGTGCCCATATGGAGTCCCACTGACATCCGTTGGACTCCACACTGTCACAGGGGGCTGTGTGAGCAGATCCTGATGTAGGATTGGCGTCTGAGTGGGAAAGAGAGAAAAAGAGCAGGTCCGGTATGTCTGGTTTTCAGTAAAGCAGTTGACAAAGTCTTGTGAAACCTTTCTTGAAATTAATTCAACTTGGCTTGGATTTGAGTATTTGCACATGGACTGAAAGCTGGACTGAGTACTGTAAACAAAGCAAAACAAAATGAGAAACAGCAACGTATCACACTGTGAGGGGCTGGCCAGTGGAGCAAGCAAAGGATCAGTGCTAGGCCAAGTTTTATTTCACATTTTTATTAACATCTAGAGGAAGAGGGTAAGCAGCACACTAGAGGCCCAGTCCTGCTGCCACTGCTCTGGGAGTAGATTTCCCACTGACTTCAATAGGAGATCCATGTGCATAACAGCAGCAGCACAAGGCCCTAAACTTGCAGATAATACTAAACTGGGAGGATATGCAAACACCACAGAGGAGAGGATACAAATAGTGTAAAGGGACTAGGAGGGAGTCAAAATATGGCTACAAAATTATACCCATCCAGGAAAATGAAAGCTTTGGGAGGGAGTGGGATGGAAGATAGAGCAACTTGTAAAGCAGCAATGCTGAGAAAGACATGAGGATGAGTAGACAGCAAATTGGATATGGGCTTTTAACGCAGTATATTGGCAAAACAACCTGACATGCTTGATTCTCCAGCATCTTCCAGCCACATTAGCGATGGATGGCACTCTGGTGGTGCAAAGCAGACATAGTCCTGTTTTAAATGGGCCTAGAATTATTTTCCCGTATAGAATCTCAGTCCTGCAAGTACAGTATAGCAGTTCCTATGACAAAGCCCTGCCATAGCTCCCTATGAAGGGGGCATGGCCAGGGAAAAGGAGATATGGCCAAGGCATTGTTCCACCTTACCAGTCCTTGACTGCTGTTCTTAGTCAGGGTAAGATAGAACAACCTTCAGGCCCTTTTATCTTGTGCCAGACACTGAGCTAGCACCCATTGGCCACAGGGTCAGGGAACGTTGCAAAGTTGACATAAAGCCATCTTTGCATCTCTCCAGGCCTGCACTAAGCAGAGCTCAGCCAGCCCAGAAAATTGAGGATAATGTATTTTGGGGCTGTGAGACTAAACACATCCTATTCTTCTCTCTCTCTCTCTCTCTCTCTCACACACACACACACACACATATCAAGGAACTGATAGTGTCTCTCAGCATAGCACTGGTTAGCCCACATCTGGAATTCTGCCTTCTATAAAAGACAGATTGAGAGAATAGCAACAAAAATGATGAAAGGACCAGAAGATGAAGATTAACCTATGAAGAAAGGTTACAAGAGCTAAATCTGTGTAGTTTAGCTAAAGGATGATGGCCAAAGGACATACAAGTCTACAAGCAACGGATGTGTGTAATGAGCAAGCAGAGAGAGGAATTGCTGAAGCTGAGTAAGTATCTGGAAATATTTGTTTCCCAACAGCGGGGTAGATTAGAGGATGGCACAGTCTCTTAAGGGAAGCCCCATCATATGGGTGATTGGAAACTAGACTGGACAAAGTACTGGATGATATCCTAGAGGGAATAACTCTTCATCAAAAAGGATAGGGGAATGAACAAGATGAATTCATAGGTCCTTCCCATCTCCGTGAATCTATTTAATGCACTCACTTTTCTCTGTGCTTGAAAATAGACACATTTTAATCAAAAAGGGGCTGATTATGGTGATGTGAAAGCTCTGGGGCCTCATCTGGCAGAGTTCTCTTTGAGATTCCCAGAAGCAGAAGAAGAGAGCAGCCATTGTACCTTCTCTCTGTGGAGTGTGGCATGCATATCCCCTGAGCAGGGCCCATGGTTCCCCTCTTCAGCCATTTTGAAGCTAGCACCTATCTTTGTGCTAATCTCTACACGCTCTGTACTCAGTGTATTGGTGGTCAGCTCCTGCAGATGCATGAAAAGAGAGGTGCTATGGGCTAGTGGCTTGAGCACTTAGCTGAGACTCAGGAGACCTGGGTTCTATTCCCTGCTGTACCACTGATCTAGCAAGAAACCGGAGGCAAGTTACTTTACCCCTATGAGTCTCACTTTCCCCATCTGTAAAATAGGGATACAGATCTCCTTTGTAAAGAGCTTTGAGATTTAGGAATTAAGAGCAAGGTATTATTCATATTACTTGCCTCTTTTCCCCTTGGGCACCTGTGCAGGGCTAGGCACAATACAGCCCCAAATCTCGGAAAATATACAATTTACTCCAGGAGAAAAACTGGGGATTACATGGCAATCAATGAAACTAAGGAAACAATAAGGTAAACTTAATTGATATGAGCTGTATGGGGGGAAGGCATCTTTCTATCAATGAGATCACTAATCCATTTATTATTATGATTTAGCTCTCAGGTAGCACTTTTCACATATGGATCACCAGGTACATTACCAAGGTGGATGTGTTCTGATTTTAGAGGGGGAAATAGAGACAGATAGGTTAAGGTCATACCCTGATCCAATGACCTTGTTCCTAATGCTGTGTTCTGACCACTAGATCACATTGCCTCTCTACAATTATATTCCAGGGGACACAGGAATGCATCTCCCCCAACACACACACTGCTTCACCAACCTCCACAAACTATGCATTGAAGGTCCCTGCATTTAAGGAAATTGCAGGAGTCAGCATATCTGGATTGCAATGGATGAGCCTCATCCTAGAAAAGCCACCTTCATGATCATGGTATCTCCCCTGCCAGCTAATTACATAATTATGTAGTTGTTATTAATTATTTAAGGATCTTAATTCTTTGAAAAGGTGCCTTCAATTATTAATGGGCAGGGTCTGGCTGGAATGACTGCCTCCAGACAGCCTCACTGGTACAGTATACACATCAGTCATTCTGAAAAAAGCCACTGAATTTTCAGGCCATTGTTTAGTTAACCATTAACAATTCATAAAATTCCAGCTCCCTGCACAATAAGCAGCATTCTCTGAATGGTACTAGAAAATCCTATTTCTAGTCTGTTATGAAACAGAGGGTTTGATGTGCTGCCAGTTTTTATGTGGAACTTTGGAAACAGAACACTTCCTGCACTGTGAGTCTTAGACTGAGTGGCTGTTACATAAAGCTTTCCTACCAACTCAAGTTTATCATCATATACATTTTGTGTGCATGTGTGTATGAGAGAGAGATTCTACCAACTCAAGTGTATCATCACATACGTGTGTGTGTGTGTGTGTGTGTGTGAGTGAGAGAGACAGACAGACAGTGGAAAAATCGAATCACCAAATGCAAAATAATAAAAAAAATTCAATTTTTTTTTGGATCATTCGGCTCTTCCTGTTTGTCCAGTGCTGACAAATATTCAGTGATTTCTGTCAACTCAGAAAGTGAAGGCAAACAGGAAAAATCAAAAATGCTAAGTTGTATAAGTATGTATATAGGGGAGATATACATAGCTGCAGAAAGCTATGTATATAGAGATGGATAGATTTTATTTATTTATTTATTTATTGCCACTGACTAAGCTTTCATTTAAAGCACAGAAATCCCCTTTGGGCCTCTCACACTGTCTCTTGTGTTGCAGTGATAAAAAGGAAGTAAACATCACATCATCAGATATGTGCCAAGTGAAACAAACATGGAATGGCAAAACAGCACATTTGAAGAAGAGGGATACAATCCTTATATTCAAGATATTGGATCCAAACATATATAGGTCATTATCCAGTTGTTTTGCTGTGGGAGGAGATGCAGAACTCCAGTGGTTTATTGATATCATTCCTTGAAGGTGAAGGAGCCATAAAGTGATCTCAATACTGAGGCGTGAAGCAGCATCATGTAATATAGTTAAACAATAATGCAAACCATAGAAGAATCGATGGAAGAGGAGGGAAATGAATTCACCTAAAAAAGACTGAATATTTAAGTCCAACACAGAAAGATGTTTGGAGTTTGTGGGGGAAGGTGGAGAATCCCCTGGTTTCCTCTGCACTGATCTCCCATGCCCTGCAGTGTATAAAAGCCTCCTAAATAAAACGACTCTATTAACAGACTACTGTAGGACTAGAGTAAAGATGCACTCCAAGCTCTGGATCCAAACCTCAGTTGAGATATTCAGATCTGCTGTTCCAGTTCAGATCCATCTTTAGATTCTGAAATATGGCATTGACTCCTAAATACCATAATACAAGAAAGGGAATCAGCCAGGCAGGATTGTTTAAACTGTCAGACAACTCATAATTTGACAGTGATCCCTTTTTAAAGTGGGGGAAAGTGCAGGCTTTGAGTGATTCAGGTTGATCACCTTTTAATCTGCATTTTTGGTTTGAGTTTTCATTATTACGGAAGTAATTCCAAGAAAAAAAAAACTATCTTATTTACATATAAAACAATTAAGTCCTGTCTGACTTTTCTGCACTCAGGAGCCAGCCACATGTTCGGCTGCAGGGTATTGTAAGGGACAGGAAAATCTGGGAAAATGCTTGCACCAAATTGTTTTGGCTTTCCTATGTATTTGCGGTGTATTTAAGCTGCATATAAAATCAAACGAAGATTGAGTAAGCCGGGAGGCTATATAGTGCATAGAAGTGTGGGCCTGATTCACAGCCCACTGAAGTCAATGTGCAATGATTGCAATGGACTTTGAACCAGGCCCCCTATGCATGGTAACCAAGATAGAATAAATTGCAGCAATGGACATAGTGCTGTAGTTTAAAATGAAGCTAGAGCAACATTTTTAAGATAGGGTTTTTTCTTGCTGCAGGCAGATAATGGAACTAGCCTCCAGACGTGTAAACTCTCAGCAGCCAGCATGATCATCATGAGCCAATTTCTATTGAAATTAGATCAATACTATTTTTTTCCCTTCCCCTCACTGGCTCCTAAGTGATTCATGAATCTGAAAACTAGTTCATGAATCTGAGAGGAAGGGGGAGAGGAGGAGGCGGAATATCTGCAGTCAGCAAACCTTGACTCTGTTTCATGAATCCAGGGATTAGTTACATAATGTTCTGCTGCCTGCTAGTTGAAACCAGTATTTAGGTTGCCGTTTAAAACTTTTACTTATTCAATTCCCCCCACTCCCCCTCGAAGAACTGGGTAGAGCCACGTTCTTTTACACACACACACGGCAAAAATCAGAGCCATGTTATATAGCAACTATTTGAGTGTATGTGCATGTGACACACATCTTAGCTACACTTTGTGTGTGTGTATAGAGAGAGACAGACAAGAATCAGTGCTGCACCAGATAGCGCTCCTGGGTGTGTCAGAAATCAGAGCTACGTTATGTAGGAATTCTCTGAATGTGTGTGTGCTTGTGACAAGGTGGAGAGCCACGCTGGGTAATGTGTGTATATGTAAAGACAGACAAGAATCAGCACCACATTACCTAGCACTCATATGTGTACTTGTATGTGACAAGAATAGTTTAACCGGTTATGGGCCCTTTAAATCTGTACTGGAGCCAAGTCTCTCTCTCTGTGGAGTTTCATAAGGAAGCACATGATGAGAGCAGTTGGAAACCACATCTCTGTGAGTGCTGATTACAGCCGACTGAGGAAAATGAGATTTTTATCTTGCAGGAATTCAATTATCAAAAAAATAAAATACAGCCTCTCTGCCTTTATTCGGCTAAACTCACTGCACCGTGGTGTTTTTAATTTAACGAAAAGTGGTGCAAGAATTATTTAAAACATTGTGTTTTTTGTAAAGGAGAGAAGAAGAAAGAAGAAGAAGAAGAAGAAAAAAGCCAAAGTCACCCTGCTGGCAAATGAATGCAGCAGGGATGATGTCATTGGAACAGTTGGAGGAGAAAAGAGAAAAACAAGTCTGTGTGTGCTAATCCTGTTTGCTGCCCTAAAGGGAATGGAAGGCAGCCAAGACAAGGAGTTCTGGGAAACCATATAAGGGTGCCAAACAAGCTCTGCCGCCAACATTAGGAACTGACATCTTTGTTCTTTGTAACTTGGAAGGCTGCCAAAGGCCTCATTTCAGCTCTGCGGCATGATTACACTGGACATCTGCCAGCTGAGCTCTGAGCTCCTTTTCTTCTCTTGAAGCTTTTTGCCAAACATGCAGCAGTTGCCATGGCAGTGGAAAGTAAAGTTTATATATATATATATATATATATATATATATATATATATATATATATATATATATAAAATATAAAAAACAACAACAAAGCAGAAGCACGCCTTTATCCAGCTGTGCCACATGTGCAGATATAAAAAGCAAGCTAACCTATTAATCAAGGGTTTTTCACCAAGACAGAGTGATAGCCATGAAAGCAGAAAGGTGACATGAGGATAAAACAATAAGCACACACACAAAATGGCCTGGCTGTACAGAGATGAGTCTATAGGATGTTTTCCTCCTCTATGTCTATCTGAAGTCATAGGACACCAAATTCAAAATAGAAAATCCTGGGATTGTCGCTGGTTTTGAAAAGGCTTTAAGATGTGAAAGAGGTTTATTTATAAACTCTGCTCCAGGACAGAAAACTAAACAACTGAAATTCAGTCGGCTTGCTAGGAGGAAGGGCTCTGTGTCAGCAAAGGTGCAGGCCAAACTATAATATTTCAAATTTTGCTCTGTACAATTAACAAACAATTATCCAGGATTCTTGTGTTTATAACAAGGGTTTTATTTAAATAGGCAAGCATTGTCTGATGGTCAGATTTCTGCAAACAACAGAAGAGGTGTGGTCCAAGCTTGCTTTCTTTTTCCACCCAGAGAGGCGTACAGTAGTTTCAGTTTACAAAGAGGCTGTATATAAAAAGTTCACTGCTTGGTGATTTAGATTTCACTCTACTATTTTTAATCAGCTTCATTTTTCACCCTGTTAGAAAGCGGAATATCTACTGGGAGGTGGCAAGTAAGCAGCTATCAAAGCCAGCAGCAGATATAGCTGGCATGTTTCTGAGGTCAAGGTTGGAGAGAAGCAGGGATAGGATTTCCAGCTCCTGTCCCCTCTCTCCCTTCATCTGACGCCTCATCTCTCCCAGGAGCTCAGTGCTATCCTCAGAGCATCCTCCTCTGAAACTCACTGTCCTGCCTGCCCTGAGAATTAGAATTATTTACACTACCATAAGTGTAAGCAACTCACTACTGAGTCTGTAACAGGCAAAGGCCCCTCAGGAACAAAGGAATTACCATAGCAAATCAAACCAGTGGATCCAGTATCCTGTCCGAGGGCCAGGACCAGATAATGCCAAGGAAGGTGCAAAACACCCAGAACAGTGAAGTGAACAAATTAGATAAATAATTTTTCAACCAGTGGAGGCCTCATCCATAACACAACTAGATCAGAGCTGGTTCTAAATAGAGGACAGAAAATTAATTACCTGAAAAACAAGTGAAGGGATGAAAGCTGTTAAGGCACCAGGCTAAGAATCAGGAGCTCTAAATTCTATCCCTGGCTATGCTGCAGATTTCATATGTGTCTGTAAGTCATTTAACCTCTTTGTGCTTCAGTTTCCCTAGCTGCTCACACCCAGGGTCTCAAGTGGGTTTATACAACCTGTGTTCCTGCAGCTTCATTGCTATTTTTATTCAAGCTAGCTAGCTCAAAGCTAGTTCAGGTATGTCTAAACATGCTGCAGTCCCACCTCTGACTGCAGTGTAGACATGTCCTCAGGCCTGTGCTCTAACTGCTAGACCCCCATTGAATTCAATGAAATTTACTTGCTTGAATTCACGAGCAGAACGTAGACCAATGATAGCTGTCTGTGGATAACAAACAGATGATAATCTAAGAAAAACTGATATGTTTCTATAAATTATAGCAGACAAACAGCTTTGTTTTAGTTTAAGGAGCCAGGTTGTTTTCTTTTTTTTCAGGTAATCTTAGTAAATCTTAGTAAATTACTGTATCGGTTTGGCATATTTGCCAGGGATAAACATTTTGACCATCATCAAGGGTGGTTTCCTCACAACTGTTGTGACTGTGACTCCATCTTGCTTCTGCTGAAGTCAAAGGCAAAAGAACAATATAATAATACCTCTTCTATGGTGCTTCTCAGTCACGCAGCTCAGTGTAAGAGAACAGAAATCATTATCCACATTGATTATATATTACACAGAAAGGGAAACAAAGACAGAAGGGTTAAACAACTTGCCCAAGGGAACAGAACCCAGGGCCTGACTCTCAGTCCCATCCTGCCTTGACTTCATTGGGAACAGGTGGGGAGGGATAGCTCAGTGGTTTGAACATTGCCCTGCTAAACCCAGGGTTGTGAGTTCAATCCTTGAGGGGGCCATTTAGGGAATCTGGGGCAAATATTGGGGATTAGGCCTGCTTTGAGCAGGGGGTTAGACTAGATAATCTCCTGAGGTCCCTTCCAACCCTGATACTCTATGATGATCATGTTGAGTCTCACTGAAAATAGATCCAATACACACCCTCTATGGCAGATGCTGTAAAACCAAACCCACGCAGGGGGGAAGTCTGCATATGTCATCCTTTCACTCATCCAAGGTAAATCATCAAAATGAGACATCATATTCCTCCTTCCAGTTCCTGGTTAGCACTGAGAGAATTGGATCGAAGGATTGTTTTAAATGTTTATCTATCAAAAGTATGAGACTAAGGTGATCTTCATTCCCAGAGGTGAGAAACTGCTGGTACCTGAAGTGACCTTACTTTGCACTATATAGACAGCTGCTTTAAAAAGACACATGCATTTCAGAATCTCACTCAATTGAAGTGAAAGTGACATTTGCAAATGAGTTGCCTTGCCTGTACAAGCTTTCCTGTTGTCCCTAAGATCCCGGAGCTGATTATTTTACCCCCCATTACCAAACCCAATTTAATTCCTTTACCCACCTGCACAGCAGAACTAATTACTTGCAGGCATTATGCTGGCACTAAAAATCAATGTACAGGCAGATTCCTGTTTGCACTTTTAGTCATCATGAGCCTCCAGAGCTTTCAATGTGAAACAGAACCCTCTGCTTTCTAGATAGACAAGTGAAACTTTCCCCAGTCCTCCAGATTTAGAAAAGAGCTTTGAATCATGCACAGGACTGGGCGCCAAGAGCTGCTCAGCTCTAATCCTAGCTCCACCACTCACTCACTGGTGCCTTCAGAAGAAAAAAAAAATCTTAGGGACAAACCCAGTTCCTTCCTCAGTCATCTGTCTGTGCAATGGGGAATGACAGTACTCCCCTCCCTGCTTCATGGGGGTGCTGTGAGGATTAATGTTTGCACAGCAAGTTGAACATGCAAAGTGTGAAATAAGTGCGGCACATTATTGTCATTAAATGTAATTTTGTATCTTTGAATTTCATAGGATTCAGTACAAATTTTTTGAACCAAGAAATGTAGCTCCCTGTACTGTGCTACTAAAAGCTCAGACTCCTTGGTAAATATAGTACAGTAATATTTACTGTAAGAAGCTTAGAAACAGGATTTAATACTGAAGGGTTATTCTTACATTACATTAACAGAGTATAGTAATACTGTAGTATAATGTTTCTTAACTTCAGACATGGTAACCTAAGAAGCCCTATTACCACTCTAATACTATATAAAAATTATTCCTCATTATAAATCATACCATACAACAAAATGGATATAAATAGAGCCCCAGTGTGGCATTGGCATGGCTCATATTTCTCTTGGTTCACATTAAATGAGCCACTAAATTACAGTGTCCTTCTTTATAATATCTTCCAAAGCCAAGCATTTTATGTGTTATGCAGGGCAGTTATAACAAGGGAAATTAGCATTGGTGGTTTAAAACAGCCTGCCCTGCCATGTGTGTGACAGGAGAGAGAGTGTAAAAACAGGGGAGAGTGAACTATCTCACCATCCTTTCCAAAATCGGTCATTTGGAACATGCAATTTCAGCCAGGATTTGCTGTTCTACTGATACTTGACGAGGGAATTTGAACAGCCTCTTAAGCAAATATACATGGTCTGAGGGCCTGTCTACACATAAAACACTAAACTTCAGTGTAGACACTAGCTAGGTCAACAGGAGGGACTCTCCCATGAGCGTAGGTAATCCACCTCCCTGAGAGGTGGTAGCTAGGTCAACAGAATTCTTCCGTCAACGTAAGTGCTGTCTACATGAGGACTTAGGTCAGCAGCGGATTTTTCATGCCCCTGACTGATGTAGTTAAACTGACCTAATTTCATAATGTAGACTGGGCCAGAAGGGAGACAAGTCAGGTGTCTCTGGGGTTGAGGAGAAGGACTGCCCCCCACCCCAATCCTACTAAAAATTCTTTTCATGGGTACACAGTGTTTGGTGCCCTCAGGTGGGGCTGGGAGGATAGCAGGTTTCCAGAGTGGTGGTGTTCCCCACCCCATACACATCAGCAGTGATCCTCCTTGTCAGATACCATCAGCGTTATCTTATGTGTTGATACCTCTGCCCAGTGGCACCCCCTGCTTGGAGGTTTGTGGGTAGGCATCTGCCAGGACCTCATGTGACACAGATCCTGAGGTGGCCGCGCTGCCCTGAGAGAAGGGGCTGCCTGCAGAACTGTGTCAATGCACTGGGCTTCTGTATATGTAGCTCTTTGCCAGAGTCTAATACTGTGACTGTCAGGATACTCACAAGTTTAGAAGGCCAAACAGCCGGCCTGCTCCAAAGCCGAGGTGGAGAAACTCTGAGACCCCCTCCCAGGAA